TGCTGGCACCAGCTTCCCTCTGGCACCCGGGACTTGGCTTTCCTTGCAACACTGGCTTTGTCCAGAAGGTCTAATTAGCATATTACACTTTTATTATTATAGATTTTTAGTGTACCTTTTCTATGCTTACATAAATATTTACCATTATGTTACAACTGCCTAGAGTATTCAGTGCAGTAACATGCTCTACAGTAACATGCAATAGGCTATCCCATATAGCCTATGTATAGTAGGCTACACCATCTAGATTTCTTAACTACACTCAATGATGTTTAGACAACTATGAAATTGCCTAATGATGCAATTCGCAAAATGTGTCCGCATCCTTAAGTCTTCTACCTTTATTTGAGAGATAAGTTAAGTCTAGCAAAAAACTCTCAGAAATCTCATCTGTGCTATCCTTCAAAACAAATATTTATTGAGAATTTTCATAAAGCACCAGAAACTATCTTCATAAAAACAAAACATGGTAGATACTGCATTGGGGTCATAAAAATCCTACTAAAAAACTGAATAGCAATTATCTGCTTATGTAACCTAGCATGTAGAATTTTGAATTTTATAGGTTGGAAGCAAGTACCTAGGGGTAGAGGGTCATAATGTGTACAATACCCATAATATAGACAATATAGCCATAAGATATGAATAACTTAATGGGGATTCAGTCATCCATATTCAGACAAATAAGATTTTGCTTCCTTGTTATCACATGCCTTATCCCAGGAAGGATGTAAGGTATAGTGAGGTATTTTATTTCTCATTTTCCAGATGAGTCCTCTGAGAAGCAGAGAGGCAGAGTGATCATACCAAGTCAGTCTCTCAGTGCCGAAGGAGTGGAGGGACAACCCAGGTTCCAACTTCCTGGCACCACATCTATTCCAATACTTGTTCACTTCAACTGCAAGGCCCAAAGGACTAATCAAATGTGCCATATTATCCAAGGGTAATATTTAACTTTTTATTTGGAAATAACTTCAAACTTATAGAATAGTTCAAGGATCACCCATACATCCTTTACCCGGGTTCCATTTTGCTCCATTTGCTTTGTAATTTGCTATCCATCCATCCATCTATCCGTCCATCCATCTATAATATTTTTTTTTTCTGAACCATCATGAAGATATTGGGTATATTATGGTCCTTTACTCCTAGATACTTCAGTTTGTATTTCCTGAGAGTAGGGATATTACCTAATATAACACAGTACAGCTATAACAAATTTAACAATGATACAACACTTTTTACCATCCATATTCTAATTTTGTAAATTAACCTAATAATGTATTTTTCCCCTGCTATACAGGATCCAGTCTAGGATTAGTTATTGCATTTAGTTGTCACACTCTTTAGTAATTTAATCTAGAATATTTCTGCAGCTTTTGCTTTTATGACATTGACATTTTTTAAGAATACAGTTGACCTTTGAATAACATGGTGGTTAAGGGTGCTGACCTCCAATGCAGTCAAAAACCTGTGCATAACTTTGACTCCCCCAAAACTTAACTACTAATAGCCTATTGATGACCTTACCAATGAAGCCTTACCAGTAACATAATAGATTAACATATATTTTATGTTTATGTGTTACATACTATAGCTTACAATAATGTAAGTCAAAGAAAAGAAAATGTAGTTAAACAAATCATAAGAGAAAATACAGTTATAGCATTTATTTTTTAAAAAATTCACATATAAGTGGACTGCACCGTTCACACCCATATTCAAATTCCACTGTAGAGACCCCTTTTTTCTTTCTTCATAGAACGTTCCCCATTTAGATCTGTCTGTTTCCTTGTGATTAGATCCATGTCATGCACTTCCAGATGTGTTACTACATGTGCGATGTTGGTGTCTTCTCAGGTTATCACACCCAGAGGCACAGAAAGTTCATCTGCCCCTTCCTGATGACACTGATTTTGACCACACAGTCAAGTTGTTGCCTGGTTTTCCCAGTATAAACTACCATTATTCTTCCTAGCAACTAATAAGAAATCTATGAGGAGATACTTTAAGACCACAAAATAGCTTGTTCCTCCCCAAGGATGAATTTTTATAATAGTATGTTCACTACTGCTATAAAAAGTGACCTCTACATAGTAAAATAAATCTTGGTTTCACTTATTACACTTGAGTAAGTTCCATGCCAGTTTTAACATCTGTTTTTATTACTATAGTCCATGCATACTGGGTGTTTATTAAAAAGTATTCATTAACTAATCATTATCTGCTTTCCAACTGTTATTAATGCCCTAATTTTTGTTCAATGAAAAGAAATCTCTTTAACTTAGGCTATAGAAGGCTTTAAAAATTAAATGATATAATTAAAAGAACATTCTTTTTTTTTTTGAAAGAACATTCTTTTAAAAGGGAAATAAACTTTTAAAAGAACCTGCCTCTTTTTATTCAAATTATACATGAATTGGTTAAAATGATATTGATTACTATCCAGCCTTTTTAAGCAGTATGATTTTTGAGGTGAGCTCTAATTCAAGGCCTTAACTTAGATTAAACATATTTAGCTTGTATAAAATGTCCAAATGCCCTGTGGTTTTAGTTTCTGAGTTTGGTAACAAGCACAAAGACGGCAATATTTGGAAAGCAGGGCAAATGAAAAAACAAACAAACAAAAAAAACACATTTTGAAATAGTTTCTAAATTTAAATTTATTTATTTTTTTAGTTTTTAAAGATGTCTCCTTTTTTCATTTCACAACCATGGTTCTCAACGTTATGTGAAAGGAAATTTTACAAACCAGTCATTCTGCTGAAGAGTTATGCCACTAATTCAACAATTCTTTCATGGAAGTGAGGAGGCCGGGGCTGGCGGGGGGAGGCCACAGGCTTATGCTCTTGAAAAGAACATGAACTCTGTTATAGCCCCTTTCTCTTTTGAGCCCAGCTTCTCATCTATAACTCTGTCTTACTTGCAATACAATAAAATTCCAGCCTGAATGAAAGAAGAGATGGCTTTTTTGATCAATAAAATTCAGCAGCCAAAGCATTAGTGTTAGGGGTTTGCTTTTTTAAAAAAAAAAGCATTTGTAGCCACAGGCTCAAAGGAGGAAGAAAGGAAGAGGGATTAACTCTCTGCAAAGAAGGTCAAAAACATAATTTACAAGTGAGGCAAGAGGAGCAGCTGTATCTGTTGGGCTAATCAAGACTAGCAGCTGGAGAATTTACCAGCAATATGAAAACCACGTCCACCAGATGTCAAGCAATGCAACTGGAGGCCAAACGTCTCTGGCTCAGTGCGGTCCTCTCCCTCTCTCTACCACACATATTTCATGTTAAACTGTGAGGTGTCTCCCAGGAGGCCACCAGCAGGGATAACAAGAACATTTCTATACATGGGACTTAGTAACACGACTGCACCCCACCAGACTGGCTTCTGTACTGAAGTCCACCTCCCATGAGGTTCTTTTGTGAAAAGGCAATTTTAGATGACAGTCAACTTGTAAGGGGTGAGAGAAACATAAATGGCTATAAGCCATTCTTGTGCAAGGATTCTTGTGGCTTACCAGACATTTTATATTTGGGAACCATTTTGTCATTGGGAGGAAAAGAATGCTCTGAAAACACTTACTTGGATAATCATTTCTCCACTGATTCTTACACCTGTGCTATTCAATACAGTAGCCACTAGCCACATATGGTTATTTAAATTTAAGGTGAGGAAAATTTAAAATTCTGTTCCTCAGGCATACTACCCACATTTCAAGAGCTTAATAGCCACATATGGCTAGTGGCTATCCTATTGGACAACACAATATCATTATAAAACATTTCCACCATCACAGAAAATTCTATTAGAGAGTGTTGTTCTAACTAAACCTTGTAAATCACCTTTAAAATGGGCAGTTACAATTCCCTTCTCTAAACACTATGAAATAAAGCAACCTTTATGCACTCTCTTGAGATATAAGTCTACTCATGCAATACAAGTCTTTTGTCAGGTGAGGGTGATGCCGAGAAGGGGAGCTGAGTGAGAGCCGGATGGCTATGAGACAACGTTGCCTGAGGTGCTCCTGTCCACTGCGCTCACAGAAGCTTGCAATGCCACCGGCTTGCTGGGTACCGCAGAGGCCAGTCTGTATGGGTATTACACGATAAACACGCAATAAACTATTCTTTCTTACATGTATCCTTAGCCTGCCAATGATTTCATCTGTATCAGACAGTTTATATCAAAAGTTTCCTTACTTATGTTTCCAGATGTGCTAAATAAATCATGTCCTTTAAAAGAGGCTGCCCAACTTCACAGCTTTGCAAATGAGGTTCTTGAATGCCAAGGAAACATCGTGTACCACAGCTGAGTCTAAAAATTTTATGAACAAGGAGAACCTGAGGCCAAGGCTAAAATAAAATCCACAAATGATGTTTCTTACTCCCAGGCTCAGCCCCCGTGAGTGTGGGGAAGCCAAGCCATTCAGGAGGTGCTGCGTGGACATCCGTGTGATTGTGGTGACTCACGGAGGGCCGTGTGCCACGGGCACATGACACTCGGGGTGCAGACCTCAGCCTCTGCCCATGAGGACGCCAGGGCGTGCGGGGCACACTGCGTACCAGCCAGGTCGCACGTATCAGCACGTCGGCCAGCTCCGCCCTCACGCGTGCAGAGTGCGGTCCAGGCGCTTGGCTTTCCTTACCTTGGTTTCCTCTACCTATTCCAACCCTCCCTGCAAAGTCACCAGCCCTGACAGCCCATCAGCTTCACTCCCATTTTCTCTTCTCAATCCCTGTTTCCTCTTCCCCAGTCATTCACAATGGACAAAGAACAAGATGGAAAAAAAGTTGTTTCTAACCTCCCTGCTCCATCACCAAAAGCATAAAAGAGCTGCTGTTTTTCTTTTGAATCATGAACTGTTCTTAATCACATTCTCATAAAGATCATGGAGCTACTGCCCAGGAGAGGCTGAGAAAATTCATCGTGTGGACTTGGCCTGTCAGAGGCTCCTGGGATGGCTGCAAGGTGTTCAGACTACGCCCCGTTTCCCCGCTTACCTTGGCTTTCCCGTCCTGGGCTGACATGTAGCCAACGCACATGCTCTCCGTCGTGTGGCTCCACAGGAACTCCACTGCCATGAGGAGAGCACAAACAGGCACATTCAGATCACAGATGGAAAATAAATCTCTGCTTTTTAATAGAACCGTTAAAGATAGCTTTATACCTAACACACTCAGTTCCCCACTTTCCATTTGCTCCTTCATAAATGTCAAGATGATTTAGTACTCAAAACTGCGTAATGCCATTTACTGTGAAATGAAAAATGTATTTCTTTCTTGTCAAAACTATGATTATTACATGTAAAATAAATGCTCTTCTGTTTGAAACTTGTAACATTAAAGACACACACATGCACACACACACTCTTATGTACAATACACAATAATTTAGTAAATGTAATATTCCATAACAGTTCCCTTTAAATCTCTCTCTCTCTCTTCTCTCTCTCTCTCTCTTCTCTCTCTCTCTCACACACACACACACACACACACACACACACACACACACACACACACATTCTGCATGAAAAGGAACCAGGATTTCTTGAAGAAATGTCAATTCCAGAACCGGGGCAGAGAAAATATAAAATGAATCTGGAACATCATGTTGTGCCAGAAAATAAGGAAGAGCTCAAAGAATGATGAGGATTTATCAAATGGACCAGGGGTTTTTCACAATGGAAAAACATTGTGAAAAGGGGTTTTTCACAATGTTTTTCAGCTCGAAGAGGCTCCCGCTGGCCAAATCTATGCCAATCTAAGTATCAAAATAAATAATAACAGTAATTAACTATCCCACTGAACATAGTAAAACCAACAAGCCCATACTAAGGCAAACAAATAAATGAATAAGTAAACAGGGGAGAAAAGAAAGCTCTTCCTTGCAGCAGAATGCCCACTAATAAATACAGACAAAATAAGAATTAACAAGCCATCATGGTTGCTAAAACTAGTTGGTGAAAATTTGAAGAGGAACAGGCTATTTCCATAGTCTCAAGGTATCTCTCCACAAAATTCTTATCTATATATATAAAAGCCTAAGCGACTGAACGACCATTTGATCAGTCGCTATGATGTGCACTGACCACCAAGAGGTAGACACTCAATGCAGGAGCTGCCCCCTGGTGGTCAGTGCGCTCCCACAGGGGGAGCGCTGCTCAGCTGACCAGGATGAGCAGGGCCGGGATGAGCGGGAGCAGCCCCCCCCCAGCCCCCTGCAGGCCAAGCCAAGGGACCCCACTGGTGCACAAATCTGTGCACTGGGCCTCTAGTTAAATAGAGAAACCTGATGGACTACATGTGAATCAAATGATCCAAGCCAACATCACCAATTAAGGGACAAATCAATGCAACAACGTACCTCCTGACAAGACACCTGAGACTCACCATCACTTCTGTGGTGTTCCTGCCAAAAATGCAGAACCAGGATTGCATGAGGAAGCACCACACAAAGCTGATCTACAAATGCTACTAAATAGCTGGTTTGAATTTGTCAAAAATGTCAAAGTCAAAAAATACAAAGGAAGTTGAGAAACTGTTCCCATTTAAATGCAATGTGTCATCCTGGACTGGATCCTGGACTAGGGTTGGGGGATGTTATAAGAGACAGTATTGAAACAATTGATGGAGTTTTAAAAGGGACTATGGATTCAATAATAATGTCATATTGATGTTAAATTTTATGATTTTGATATCTATATGTAATTATTCAGGAGAATGGCCTTGTTCTTAAGAAATACACACAGAAGTATTAGCAGTAAGGACCCCTGACATCTCCATCTTGGTCTCAAATAGTTAAGAAAAAAAATGTACATGTTTAAACATGTGAGTGTGTGGGTCTATGTGCATAAGGAGAAGATGAAGGGAAGCAGGAGTGAGGAAAGAAAAACAAATGGAGGAAAATGAAAACAATGGGTGAGTCTGGGTCAAGAAATCATGGATGTCCCTTGTATGATTCTTGTAACTTTTCAAATATAAGTTTGAAATTATACCTAAATTAAGTTACAAGAAGAAAAATTCACAAACACACAGAGATACACACAAAACTTTGTCACCTTCAAGTACATACTGTCAAAATTCTAAGTTTTTTTAAAGACACTTTGTAAAGTTTTGAGGCACTTATCCAAAAAAAATTTCAAAAGTTCCTGATAATAAAACTGCATTGCTCAACACTCAACTCTCTGGGTCCCAGGCCATCCATCTGTTTATGTCCCTGAGCTAATTAAGCCTGAAGACAAGTGTTTGAGTTGAGACACAACTGTGGGATCAGTGATCCTGGACTGACGCTGTGCCAGACATATGGGGAAGAAAGAAGCTTAGGGACAAAACTGAGTTCCTCAGATACGTGGCTTATTCCCTCATCATCAATTAATTACCAAACCTGCCAACCTGCTAAACAGACGCTCTGCGAAAGAGCGCAGGAACACAGTGTCACGCAATGAAGCAAGCGCTCTTCACCAGATGTTTTTTCTTCCTCACACATCTCCTTTGAACTTTGAAAATCTTCAAGTCCAGAGCAAGATCTTGGATATTCTAATTGCCTAAGAGAGCAAAGGCACTCAAGTCTTACCGAGTTTCCCTAGAGTAATGACAATGCAAATGTATCTATAAATACAAAGTTAAAAGAAAGTAATTCAATGTCTAGAAATTCAGTCTTCACTCTTTTCACAAATCCCCCTAAAAAGGGGTGCATTGTACTAAGACATTTTAATACCAACAATTCAAATCAGTAGATAATGATCAGTTCAGTATATAACTAGTTCAAGCTAGCTTGAAAAACTCAGCAGGAATTGCCTACAATTTAAATTATAGAATGCTTTTGAAAAGAAACCCTATTTTATTTAATTCAGTGCATGTCTTAAATTAATATGACAAATTATTTCTTGGTGGAGGACTTCAGGGAAGTAGGAGAGGGAGGAACTAACATTCCAAATCTATCCTATGCTAGGCACTATCTTTTGTAGAACTCAGCAAAGCCTGGATGGGGCACCTGATGCTCACAGAAAGAATGAAACATGGCTTACGTCATTTTAGTACATAAACAAACTGGAATTTAAACCGGACTTGTGGATTCCAAAACCTGCGATCTCCCATTGTTCTATTACTCTGAAATTTACTCAGCTTGAAAAGGACTTATAATTAGTGTTACGTATTAAGAAGATTAAATTCCGTGCAAACACCAAAGGACCACAAAACATCAAACACAAATACAACTCTTAAATATCTCCAAAGAAAAGCTTTTAAAACAATAACAAAATCCAGAGGTCATAAAAGACAAGATCAATGTATTTGACTACTTTAAAAAAATGTTTACTACATTTTCTTACCATATGGGGAAAAAAGTCAAAAGACAAACTAGGGAACTATTTGCAATTCATAGCAAAGAAAAAGGACAAAATTTTCTTAATATATAAAGATCTGCTACAAATTAATAAGAGACAAATATCCAAAGATAAAGCAAGAAGGATATAAACAAAAGGGAACATGAATGACCCTCAAACACAAAAAGATTTCTCCTACTAAAAGAACTGCAAAGTAAAACCACAAGATACCATTATTCAACTATTAGGTTATCAGATATCAAAAGGTTTAAGACAACTTTGGGGGGGTGAAAAAACAAGCACTCTCATATAATGATGGTGGGAGTATGGCCATTTGGAAATACATTCTTGTAATTTGTGGTAGCTATGCCCTACAAGGTCAGCATGAACAATTATTTAGAAAATATGGACCCATTGCTCCTAAGAGAAATACAGAGTTAGGTTCCTGCAAGTCTCTGGTCACAACGTTTTCAATCAATAAGTAACTTTTATTTAATGAGGGTTTCTGTTTAAAGACATCACATTTAATATGTTTCTTACAAGTAATTAACTATATGCAGTATTCTTGTATAATAAAACAGCAGCCAAGACTAGTTTAACATTTTCCTAACCCTGGAAAACCTGCCCACGAATTTCTTTGGTTTTTAGCCTCAACAATGCTGGCCCCTATGCTCTTTTTACTGGCCATCTTCTCATGAACCCACAAATTAAACTCTATTTCCAGCTTCTCCATGGCTTCATGATGCACCGTAGAGGTTACTTTAGCAGTTTCTGGAGCAACATACAGATCAGTGATTTCCTCTTCCTTTTTCTGGATATACGGTATTGTTGGCTCATTAAATTTGAACTCATGGCCAACAGCATTATAACTCTTGCCTGAATGAAGCTTATCCCACACACACATTTTCTTTTTATTTATTTACTTATTTTAGATATGTTTTTATTGATTTTTTTAGAGAGAGAGGAAGGGAGAGGGAGAGAAGATAGAAACATCGATCAGCTGCCTCCTGCACGCCCCCGACTTGGGCCCTGAGTGAGAAC